CATACGCGCAGTTGGCTGCAATAATTACCTATTAAAAAGAAAGTCTTCGAAAATTAACCCTACTTTCCGAGTCTTCATTTCTCGTGAAGTGAGTTTAGTGAGTTTTCGCCCTTTTTAATGTTTAATTTCATAATCCATTGTATCATCGATCAAACTTTTTTTCGTCCTCTCCCAAAACAATCCAGCCTTGTTTAGTTACACTGACAGATTTGTGGCGAGTTTAAGCTGGAAAATACGCGACGTACAGTTCAAACTCAACCCTCAGTGATTTAACCTTTCAGGAAAATACAAAGGCACACCAACATAGCCGAGCCTCTCCTAATTAACGTCTCTTGCAGTGTCATCACCTTTAGGCATACAATATAGCTACTCTGAAAGCCGTGTAATTCCCCACACCCTTGAGCGACTGGAAGTATGTTTGCGTTGATTCTTTCCTCAGCCGGTTACTCCATCACCAAGCAGTGTAGTCTGTACCAGTCGCTTCATCCTTAAGTATGTTCTACAAACACACTAAAGCCCTCTACACCTTACGTGTTGAAAGGACGACGCATACAGTCATTTAAACATCATTCATTCCCCTCACTGAGTGTTTCCCTCTTGCTATCGGGCACCCGTATGTGTTACACTGCTAGTAGCTTTCTATTCGCGGGAGCAGATTTTCACCGCTTTTGATTTTTGAAATTCGTAACTTCCAACATAAATTGCGTGCATATTTTTCCACATCCGTTTCTCGTTGTTTGACTCTACTACTTGTCACGGTCACCTTATCTTCTAAGGCCCAGTTGGTGGACTGCTTCAGTCGTCATCACGCCGCTGACTAGAAGCACACAAATTAATTTCGCCGAAGCTGTAGGGTTTTCGAACGCGAAGTTAGTCTAATCCATTCGCGACCTCCGGTGACATGACTTTGTTTAACTGAGCGAAACATCAAGGTCACGGAGCACCACCGATTCGCATTTCGTCACTTGATTACGCGAGATAAAACACTAAATCGCACTTTAGCATATTTTGACATTCTTCAGTGTTCACTAAGAGTAAAAGACATCTAAAGAATATCAAATTCAAATTCCACCCCGGAAGTTCGGTCATTGACGTTTGTTCTGCTTCACAGTCCTCAGATTTAACAAACGAGATGATTTTGTTCGGCGAACCCGGCCACATCGCATTTCCCCATGGACCTCAACTTCCGTTAACGAAAACATTGTTAGACAACAGCATAAACTGTGCGGTGGGGATGCCATATCTGTGAATGACTCAATTTCTCTGATGTACCTAACTGATATGTAGATGATAAGGGCGTCCCGAGATAGCTCAGGTACCATTCCTATTGTGAATGAGACGCTCAGTAGGTGGTGACCACCATAAAGCTGCCGCCATGATAACGGTAGCCGTTGTCACCCACTTCGACTACTTATCGTAATTGTTGGGTCTGTGTCTGCGTGCCCCGATGATTATGAGGCCTCAACTATGCACGGCAGCCTGATCCAATCGCCAAAGAAGGCCCCTTATACTCATGACTCCAAGCGTTGTCACGCTTCCCGAACACTTATTTAAATCGCTAGGCCCGTCTCCATGTGCAACACTGGTTATGAGAATAACTGAGATAACTTTTGACCGTCTGTTATTTCGGGCGGCATTGAAACTCACTTCAAAGTATTTTGCTGTGTCTTGATGAACAGTAGTGCAACACTGTATCGGTCGTTTGGCCTCCTGCTCCGTCCAACATGGTATATCAGAAGGCGCGATAGCTCTACGCAGCCCCTCACGGGGTCAAGGGAGCATTATTACAACTGTATTTATAGAGAGATCACAAGGTGTTCCACAATATCATGCTGAAATATCCTTGGAGGGGGGAGAGAAGCGCTCGATTCGGATTGGCTGGCATTCTGACCAACCAGTGCATGGGTTCGGTTGATCCGTGTCTTGCACTTGACACGTCCGTCCAAATGGCGTGATGTTTTCGTTATTTCGGGCGGCTGGCAACCGGGCACCTCCCCCTTGAAGAAACTGTTCAGCCGACTGGTGCTTTGTTCTCCAATGTGTCGACTCACTTTGGTGCTGCCGCATTTCGGCCTTTTACTGGGGGTGCAAGTGTGCTGATCTAGGAGCTAGTACCATCCAACTCGGAGGTAGTCTAGGCTGTCCGGTGTCACGCGACATGGTCTCCTCACCGAAACTCCGTCTGTTGCTGAAGTTGGTTCACTTGACGTGTCCATCCTTACGATCTGATTTGTGCCTCGTGTTTGACGCAGCACATGACCCTGCATCCACCGTAAAGAACATTCCTTAGGCCCTGGAATCAGTATCTGACCTCTGTGTGACCATTTTGATGTTGATTCTGCCGGGCTCTTTTTTTACCTTCCCGGACAGCTGTAAAAGGATCCGCATGAACCTGTGGTTGTAAATTGAACGGTAAACCGCGAGTGCATCGTTGCGGACTGCTGGCAGGCTCACCAAATTGGACTGAATTGAAGGATATACCGGTGCCGGACGCAAGGAGCTTAAAAGCCGCGGCAACAAGTTTGGTTCCCCTGGTCTTCTGTTTCGTTGTAACTGTGGCTACCACAAAATTGTCAGGGCGTGTCGTTCTCGTGAACGTATTGGAGCCATTTGCGGTTGTTTCGGAACAAACGCAATTGAGGGGTTCATCCGAGAGTTGAATCTCACTAACCCAATCGAGGCCCAAGAGGTCAAGGCCTGTGTAGTTCACAAGGTAGCAAGGACCCAGGAAGTCGAATTGTTTTGAACTTTACGGAACAGTTCAGCTACCCGGTCAGTTTCAGGCCTCCAGCAGTTGCGCCACGATCGGTGCACTTTGTGGGTTCTAGTAGTGGCCTTCCAGTTACATCCCAGGTTCGTTTTGAAGTCAGAGTGAGATCAGAACCTGCATCCATTTGGAGGGCTACTGGTGTGCTACTGAAACATATTGCGACGAATTTACGTCGACCGGGTGATTTCATCCCGAATGTGGCGGTCATGGCCTCTGCCAGCGCGAGCCTTTGAAGTTGTCTCTGCAACATCCTTCTTTGTGACTCTTCCGACTGCACCTACTGTACCTGCAATTTCGGCGAGGACAATGGCGTGAATAGTACCTTCTTCACAAGAGGACAATGGCGTGAATAGTACCATTCTTCACAAAACCAACAGAATGTGCGCGGTTTTTTGGAGTTCGTGCAGAATTTCACTTCATTTTGGAAGTTACTTTGCATATCATATCGGGCTGAGAGAATTTGGAGTGCCCGATCATTGCAGCATCATCCTTGAAAATGATAAGATGCCGGCACTCGGTGGTAAGTTTCTGAAGCGTCAACTCTGGATCCTGTTCAATTCGTTCGTTTGGTCCTCGTCTTGCACGTGACATATCCCAACCAAATGATGTGATGTTCGGTTGTTAGGACCAGCCATCCGGCCTCCGGACAGCTTGCTAGCAAACCTTTTGCATACTCTTTCTATTTGGAGTCGCCAATGAAGAAATGATTATCTTATTACTTCGTTTGAATAGCAGCCATAAGCCACCGTGAACCCGCAATGCACCCAGGAACATCCTTACTACAATCGCAAACCTAAACGGCTCGTCCAAGATGTTCATGTACGGGGTGTCCGCGGGCACAAATGCGGCGTCGCAATGACGGTACCTCGACTACCAAACCCAGTTTGCCGCCTTACCCGTGGTTCACTATATCTCTAATATTTCCCAGACGAGTGTGTTACCCACAAGACCTTTTAATTTCATTTAACTTGTGCAAGGATTTGAAAGGAGTAGCCACCTTATTGTGCCGCGTCTGCTTGTTCTGTGCATAAATCCAATATTTAATCCGTAAAATTGTAATTTCCAGGGCCGCTAACACTCAAATGCTCACGAATGATTATTCTTTGAGGCTAAGATCTGGTAACAATCTGAATGCACTAAAATGGAATAAATAGGTAACACGTTACAGTTAAACAAAATATTTTGGTGGCATGTTGCCTCCGGGTGGAAGATAACGAAATAAATGGTCATTAATGACCAATTATTATATCCTACAGCAATTTTTAGTTTGGCGGCAACCATGATTTATTCAGAGGTTAGACGCTGTTGATTCCTTTCCATTCAGAGGTTAGACGCGACATTTCACTTTCAGGTTTAATAAGGTATTCAAACAAGGATAAGAAACGGTGACCAAAGCTATTTTTATCTCAAAAATGCAATTGGACGAAGCCTATCCCAAAAATCTAACGGGAACCAATAGTCATAGGCTAAACCCCCCATAGTTGAATTGGCCTATAATAGGGCTCGTAATTTGAACATGTTTCTTATTCACACCTGAGATGTTCGTTGAGCTGGGGAAATGTCGATGACCAACGGACTGTTTTTAAAGCTGACCCGTATTTTCCATAGCTCTCAGGATTTTGCTGAAGCGTATCATTAAATCAAGACATACGTGAGTTTGAGCCCAGTCTAGTCCCCACAGTGAAAACCCGACGCTTTTGAGCCTTATAATGAACGTCCTTCGTCCGTCACACGCTGCTTATCGCAAGTAATTTTGGGAAACATTTTCAAGCCTACACCCTTCATTTTCATTGCCGTTATGTAGAGACGTTGGACAGGCAAACACTACATAACCTCAGGTGCTGCTATGACCCCATGCCAAACCTGAACTTGAAGGAACCAATAGAGATGAAGGAGCTGGAGATTAGAAGGCGGAAGTTAGCGTCCCGCAAGCAGATGCTGTTGTCGTATGACTCCTCTGATGATGAAAACTCGATATGCGGTGACTGTGAACTTGGGTTTCCATCCATTGAACCGAAGGCCGAGAAATTCGTAGCGAAGTTTAATTCAGAAGAAATGGAACGCACGAATTTATCTACTAATCGGCCGAGAAAAGGTGACGCGGCCGGGACTCGAACCGCGGGGCATGAAATGGACGCCAAACGTGTCGACTACTATACCGCTAGGATTCAGCCTGCCGAAAATAGAAATAGATAAATTCAGCGGGAATTCGATAGAATTCTGGAAGTTTATGAAAGTGTTTGAAATGAGCGTAGCTGATCGGCTGCTTGACGACAGCAATAAATTGATTTACCTTCTTCATTATTGCTGTGATGAAGCCAAGGAGGCCATTGCACACTGCGTGTTCCTCATTGGAAAGATAGGCTATCAAAGAGCCATGGTTATCCTAAAGACGCAGTTCGGAAAGCCACACGACATTGCACAGTCGTTCATGAACGAGCTTCTGACTGGAGGGCCCATTGCTCCCGGAGACGTCGATGCATTACGAAGGCTGATAAGGAAAATGGTAAACTGTGATCTCGCATTAAGACAGATGCATTACATGGCCGATTTGAACTGCTCAACCAATCTCAAGCGTATAGTGGGACGTCTACCTTGGCGTTTGCAAGAAAAGTGGGCTGAGGCGGCAGACGACATACTGCGTTCGGGATCAGAGCCGGAGTTTGATCATTTAGTATCCTTTCTTAACAGAAGTGTATCCAT